CCGGGTATGCCCTGTCCATCGATATACAGGGAAGGTCATTCTTGTTTTTTCTTTTTTTGGGGGGACAACGGCCTGGCCTGGCCCTCCGACGTGGATGACTAGACTGCAGTTACAAACTCTTCCCTTCCACAGCCACGCGACGGAGGAGTTTCGCCTGCAGTGTAAACTTCGGAGGGGACTGGACTCCAAAACGCAAGTGCCATAGCAGACGACTTGACCATTGCTTGTGAGAATAGTCTTAGTGCATTAGATGAATTGAACTCAATCTTAGATAGTTATGGAGTACTGTCTGAGGCAACGATAAACTGGCACAAATCTGTATTTTTCTTAGTACCTGCTCTATATACTCTCAAGGTTAACTGGGGACTCCGCCAGATTCCGACGGAAAATTCAGAACGTTTCTTGGGCATTCAGGTTTCATTGTCGGACTGTTCAAATCAAACTCCCAAGATCGGATCTTGGCCGGTAAGGTTACGGCCGGAATAAATAACTGGCAAAAGAATCATACTCGATCTATGTTTGGTAGAGCACTGGTGCTAACGTCTTCGGCCTTCTCTACGCTGTGGTTTTCTCTTACCATAGTCAAGCTGGGAGACGAGGCCTATTTGGAGATTAAAAAATCTGCAGCGGAATACCTTTGGAAACCAGGGGCCCAAGAGGAAGATGGATTTATGACAAAGGTCTCTGGGGAAGCTCTCTAGCTCTCCCACGATCTCAAGCGGGTTTAGGAATACTTAACCCCCGTCACCAGAACCTGGCAATGCTGGCTAAGTGGCCTGTAAAAGCCATGTTCGACAATCCATCGGAATTTTGGATTTGTATTGCAGAATACATCCGTTGTTCAGAATGAAACTTATCTCAACCAGAGGTGATCTGGACAAGCTTGTTGCTGCCTTCATTTGCAAATAGAAGACCTAAATCACGAATTTGGAGGGATATCTTATTTGCTTGGCAAAAACTGCTAACCCAACACTGTAACTACCCGGTTTCCAAGGGCGAGGTACTCAACCAACTACTGTTCGATAACCAGAATATCTTGCAGTTGAGTGGGACCCCATTTGAAGCAAACTTGAATGGTGAGCCAGGTGGGCTGCGCCAGGTCGGGGGTGGAAAAGGGAGTTCTTCAAGTAAAGCATGTTTGGGACAGAGAAACGGAAGTCTTAGATTGGATAACAGAAGATAAGCTGAGAAGAAAAGTGCCCCGACTTAGAAACCTGGGTAGGAACTGGTCGTTTCTGAAGGCAGCATTGCCAAGGGAATGGGCGGAACAGTTGAAAGGGACATCTTCTGAGCAACGAGAAGGGTCCTGGTGGTTATTTTCAGACTAGATGGAGGGCAGAGTATGGAAGGTCCTGGGAGCAGATCAGGCGGGGGGAGTCAATGTGCAGGAATGGAGCATCCCAGGGGCGATAATAGGGTGTCAGTCCAATCAAGGAAAGCTTCTTCCAGGGGTAGAAAGGACGGTAGCCTCAACGAGGGGCTGCGAGGAGGCTAGAGTTATGTTAAGCAGGGACGCAAAACATGCATAGCTGTTGGGGGAGGCAACCAGCTTCCGAGTGGATCCTGCGGCTAAAAGCTGGCCACTGGCCAAGAAAAAACTCCAGGAAATGGTGCCCTTCACACAGTATAGTACCCAAATTGGTTCTGGCATCCTTCGTTCTTCAGTTAAAAGAACTCCAGAGATACTGGCCAGTAAAAGACTGGATAAAATTAAGAATGGTCTGTCAATACAACCAGATTGGAAAGGCCTTTGGAGAGCCTTAGATGCCCTCTCAGAAAGCTGCTAGCCTAATATAGCTCCAATCTCTTTTGGTAGTGGCCTCTTCTCTGTGGCTCTCCCAAAAGTGAATGAATCTTTCAATCACCTGTAAACAATGTAAATGAGGTTGGGAATCCAGCGCCCATTAACGACCATTTCGTCAAAATGGACATCTTTTATTTTTTGAACGAAATTGAAACCGAATTTTTTGGCTGAAAACTCGTCAAAATTTGTTGTTCCTGAGGGTCCAGCGTTTTACAAACACTGGACCCCCTGGCTGTACATGGACCTAGCTTGAGACCAGGCACCTCCAGGTAGGACTGCCTGGAGGTACTTGGTCTCAAGTTAGGTCCATGTCCAGCCAAAGGGTCCAGCGTTTTACAAACGCCGGACCCTCAGGAACAACAAATTTTGACGAGTTTTTGGCCAAGAAACTCGGTTTCAATTTCGTTCAAAACATAAAAGATGTCCATTTTGACGAAATGGCTGTTCATTTATGGCTGTTTTGCCGGTTGTCCGATGAACTGTGGATGTGGTGGACGAAGCATTGGGACTTGATTACTGGTCAGACTTGGCCATGGACAGATGATTGGCTTCTGTATGGAATTCTTCCACTGCAGCATACGTCTCTGAAGGATGGGTGGGGCTATACTGCAATGGTCTGTAGGGGGATCCTCCTTCAAGAGATATGGAGAGCGAGGAATTCTCTGGTATTCAAGAGTTCGAAGATCTCTATTCAGGAACAACAACAGCAAGTACGCCTGGGCATAAGAATCATGATAATTGCGGACTGGCAGACAAGCTTCAGAAGCAGAAAAAAGGGATATTTGTCGTTTTTAAGGACATGGGCCAGGGGTAACCAGCTGGCAGCAGTGACACAAGATAAGAAAATGGTCATCTCTCGTTGGCTCAAGCTGCCCTGAAGACGGCTTCCCTGGTAATAAGAGGAAGCGGACCGTTTTAGACCGCCTATATGGACTGAGTTTAACAGGAGCAACTTAATCCTGTGGACAAAGTATAAGAGTGGAATCTGAAGGTTTTGTGCTAACATGCTTGGATCTTTCTTCAAGGTATTTCGATAAAATTAATGTCTTAAAAGCAATTTGGCTGCAGATGCACCTCCTTTTAATCTGTGCGTCATGGGTTAATTTTTGGAAAGCTGATACTAGTTTCAGTGTGGGGCGCTGGACCTGGTTACCAGCAGTAGAATTGTCAGATCTTGAGCAGTTGGTTTTTCTCGAGCTGGGCTCGTAAGCTAAACTGGCTGAGGCTGCCAGGATAACTCCGGGTCGATTTGTGAGGTCCCCGGCCTCGTTCCAATTTTTGGAATATATGAGTGAAGCTTTCCAAAAAAAAAAAAAAAAAAACGCAAGTTTGAAACGTAATTTCAAACTCCTACCCTGACCGCGACCTAGTTTTCTCAAACAAAAAAGGAAAAAAAAAAAAAGGGTATAAAGAGGTGCCGTAGGGGCTCGCTCCACTGCTCACGACAGGCAGGCAGAAAACACAAAAAAGATGCATTCGTTGTCTGCCTGTCGTGAGGTAGTGGAGCCAGCCCCTAAGGTGCAGAATAAAGATCCATCCATCCCCACTTAGCCCGTCAGCACAGCCATATCATGTCGCAAAGGTACGATCGATAGAGATATGTAAACCAAAAGGGCGTAGCTTAGTTGGTACACCACTGAACTGTTGAAATACAGACTCAAGCCCGAATCCGGATGCCTTGAGACGGAAAGAATAAAATTCTTCTGAAAGGACTGAAAAAAGAAAGCTTCCCCTCAGTGATGTTCGCTGTCAGGATCCAGCCCCGAAGTGACGCTCATCCTTTTGATTAAAAAACACAGAGCTTTAGTCTTGTCTTCGTGAAAAAGGTACTAGGCTAGGCGTTTTCCCCTGCAAAATTAAATGTCAGCAGGTCCTTCACTTGGCAAAATGTGACAACCGCATGGAGGACAGGCTCAACAATTATAGATTCCGAATCAGAAATACTGGACATGTTCAGAGGGTCACCTACATCTTAATACCTGCTAAAACTGCTAGTATCAGAAATATTCCACCAGTCCATTAGACAGTAGATAGAAGATTCCCTCATCGGTTTTCCAGCCTGGTTATTATAATTAATTCCCAGCACATCAGGGTGCAAATCATCTCCCAGCCTGACCAACTGCCCCAACTTCCCCAACTTCCCCACATGGGCCCCAAGTGAAATCTAGGTTGTCCACTTAATAATCAGGAATAGCCATCTTCAAACCTCCAAGTCGTCTGCGCTTAGCAGACTGATATATCAGAAAGGACTTAATGTCTTCAGAGTTCCTCCAATCAATCCCGTAACTCCTTAACCCTACTCAATCACTGCCTAGTACCTACCAAATGCTGCATGCCTACCCTGCATACGAACTCGTCGTGGGATAAAAGCACAGAGCCCCACGTTATCAAACAACGGCGCAGAGTCCCCAGTACACTCGTAATCGCAAAAAGGAACACACCACAAAACAGCCACTGCCTACCAAATGATCCTTGAGTAACCCTCCAAGGAGATGGCTGAGCATCCGAGTACCTAATGAATTCATTATCAAACAAAGCCTCCAAAATCTGCTCAACCTTGACACGGGGTATCTTAACCATTTTGAATTTCCCCATGCTTATACTACCACCGATATGTATATTTATATCCCATCCTCTAATTTTAAATATACTATTAAATTAATATTAATATACCCTCCCATAACTGTGTCTACGAGCATTTCCTCTATTTATATCCCATCTCTCTCTCTCTCTCTCTCTCTCTCTCTCTCTCTCTCTCTCTCTCTCTCTCTCTCTCTCTC